TATATATATACATGTATATACAGCGAACTCTCGCAACTACGATCTCTAATACAACAATAATTCCCTCTATTACAATAATGCTTCGTGGTCCCCGCTAACTTGCATATGTTTTAATGTTATCCACCTCTCAATATTGCGACATTCTCTTGAAGCAATAAACCCCTGTAAGACGAATTTTTTTTTCAAATTTCAGTCTAATTTTCACCATTTATTAGCCTTGTCATTTTGAACCAATCCAGAAGACAAGGAAACTCCTGGATCAAGTATTGGGAGAAGTTTGCCTTCGAGGATGAATTTTTTATAACATTAACCCGCATTTGCGTTACATGGGGAAGACCACGAGAACCACCCGTGGTTAGCCTGACAGCAAAGGTACTCTAACCCATGACCACAGAGGATATTTCACGCCAGCACTTTGGTCGGTTCCAAGCCGGACGTGGATTCGTTTCGACCAGCCATCGCTAGAGATTCGAACCCGGTTGGAAAGCGGACGCTCTATCCTCTGAGCCATCGCTGCTCCGCTCTCTTATATTGACTGAATCTTCAATTTAAAGTATTATATAGTTTGAAGTGATAGCATTATTTCTAGTGTAAGTGGCTTTTCTTCGGCGAAAGAAATTCGGAAACTATTCTTAAAAGACACAAATAGATTACTAAATCACAAATAGATTTATTAAATTTGTTACTCAAAGTTATATTTCTATCCTATTTCAGGGTTTCAAGTCCATGAAACAATTCACTACGGGGGTAACGGTGCACCAAGAAGTAAGAGCCTACTTTTCCTCATTTTATTTTCTTTCCTTATATTTTATAAATATTTAAGCTTAATTAAGCTTTATTTACCGAACGTGATTGCTTTATTTCTTTTCCTTAAAGGCTATTTTTTCGGTGAAACCAAAGATCATTTTGTTCATAAAATATGTATCTATTATAATAATAATTTTGTTCATAAAACATGCATCTATTATAATAATAATTTTGTTCATAAAATATGTATCTATTATAATAATAATTTTGTTCATAAAATATATATGTATTTATAGTAATTACGGGGACTCAGTTGTAAGAACACTTATGTTAATTGTTACTAAATAATAACGCTTACCTGTATTTGAAAAATAATCAACTCACTTGAAAAAATTTTTTTATATAAAGTGCGTGATAAAGAATTGCTTTTATTCAAGGATTGCCTGCTTATAACTATTCAAATGTGAAAAGATTTCTTATAAGTTTTTTATATTTCAAAATATAAGGATCTAATGACATCTGATCTCTTCTGCGTTTTTATCTTCTTATTCTAGTAAGGTACGTTGAAATTATTTACACACTAGGTAATTACCCTTTATCCGTACGGGATCAAAGAAATAAAGCTGTTGCATCAATATGGGCTGTTTTTTTAATGCAACAGAATTGTTTTTGCTTTCACATTAATCTTAACATTACATTAGATTTGAGTACAATTACGTGATTTTTTTTTATTTCAAATGAGGCAGTTGTAAATGAAAATATCACTTGCCAGGTTCTTTCATTGATCTCTTTAATTAATAACACGAAAATAGTTTATTTTATTTATTATTATTTGCTCTCCTCCGTTTAGGAAATCAGTAACAAAATGACACGGATACCGGTTTTTTTTATTACCTTGATTATAGTATCTCTGAAAATGGCACTTGCCTGGTTCTTCTACTAATCTCTTTAAACTAATAAAGCGAAAATAGTTTCTTTTATTTATTATTATTTGCTCTCCTCCGTTTAGGAAATAAGTAACAAAATTACACGGATACCGGTTTTTTTTTATTACCTTGATTATAGTATCTGAAAATGGCACTTGCCTGGTTCTTCTACTAATCTCTTTAAATTAATAAGGCGAAAATAGTTTCTTATATTTATTATTATTTGCTCCCCTTCGTTTACGATATTAAACAAAACGCATTTTTGTTGTTCATCCCATCAGAATACAGATATAGCTTCACTTGTCATGATGCTGTCAAAATTTTCCACTATCGAGTAATTTTCTTCATTGAATACCCCTTTCAAGACACTTTTTTCCACAGTATTGGTATTAAAACTGAATAATATCAGTATAATGGATTTATACCTATTTTATTATATTTGGTATCTATTATAAGTTCGTCCACCAGGAGTTGGAGCTTGGCTCCGCCTTCATCACGTGGTATCCGACGATACTCTTTCGCTATTTTTGGGAGAAGGAGGTAAACAATACTGAACAAGGTTGCTATTTGGCGATTGTATCACAAAAATATTTATTTCAATATCTTAAGGTGCATTTTTTTAACAATAAATATTTCACAAATTTTATGATATTTCTCTCTTTTGAGTAAATAGTTTTTGAGAAATTTTTCTGGGAAAACAGCAGTTTTAAAATTAAAAATATATTTAATTTTGCTAGAGTAACGTAAGGTATAATAGCAGATGTTAAAGCGATGTAAGTGACTGAAAAGAAATTCACTATTTGCGTTCGGCGTGCATTGAGGGTTGCCTCACTTTCAAGAGCCGAGATGTTTCTCCTCAAGCTCCTGCACTAAAATGAACTCTGCGTCCGATGAGGTGGAGCCAAGTGCCAACTCCTGGTGAACGAATTATACATAACCTTTCAACATTTAAGTTTTGTACAAAATACAATTATCAGTGGCATAGTGAATGAGCACCAGTGGGAGGTGAAAACTATTAAAAGAGCGCAAGCAAAATTTTGAATTGCTAAGAGGTGGTAGGGATCTCTAGGGGATCGTTAAAAAAAAAAGACACCAGGGTCATGGTGGCTCAGGGGATATTGTTCGCTTTCCAATGAGGTGAACAGATTCAAATTCCGTATCTGGCTCGCACCGACCACAGTGCTGACGTGAAATATCATCAGTGGTAGACGGATCATGGTTTAGAGTCCCCTTGCCGTCACGCTAACCATGAGAGGTTTTCGTGGTTTTTCTCTCCATATAACGCAAATACGGGTTAGTTCCATCAAAGAGTCCTCCACAAAGGCTAAATTTCTCCCAATACTTGATCCAGAAGTTCCCTTGTCTTCTTGGCTCGTGTTCAAAATTGCATGAATATAGATTTAAACATGAACCGAAAAAATTGGGTCGGCTGTTCAACGAATGCTATAAAATAAAATAGACTGTATAGAAAATTTTAATGCGTCTCAACAGAAAAAATGGGGGCAACTACTCTTGATGACGAACCAAGGACATAAACTCGTGCAGAACATGTCACTATTAAAAAACTATAGCGCGTCTCATCATTTGGTCTAATTATTATAATATACTAAAATAATACCTGATATAATAAGTATCCTATATTTATATTATATATCGTCTCATTTATCCTATCGTCGAATTTATATTATATATCGTCTAATTTATCCCATCGTCGAATTTATATTATATATCGTCTAATTTATCCCATCGTCGAATTTATATTATATATCGTCTAATTTATCCCATCGTCGAATTTATATTATATATCGTCTAATTTATCCCATCGTCGAATTTATATTATATATCGTCTAATTTATCCCATCGTCGAATTTATATTATATATCGTCTAATTTATCCCATCGTCGAATTTATATTATATATCGTCTAATTTATCCCATCGTCGAATTTATATTATATATCGTCTAATTTATCCCATCGTCGAATTTATATTATATATCGTCTAATTTATCCCATCGTCGAATTTATATTATATATCGTCTAATTTATCCCATCGTCGAATTTATATTATATATCGTCTAATTTATCCCATCGTCGAATTTATATTACATATTGTCTCATTTAACCAATTGATAGACTAACATAAACAAGTGCAAACCGGTTTCAGCAGCGTAAAAACAATACAGCTGTATAGAGTATCATCTGATAATTAAGATTTTACATAGAATCTTACAGTGCGTCTGATAATTTGAACAGGGATGTGTATATTACTTATTAGATGGAAAGCAAAAATATTTATATAGTTTTATTATCATTTTTCAGCTTATCATTACGAAAGTCCTGGAGGAGCTGTCCACACCGAAGTGCATGTCGGTATTGGTGGTAAGTCTGCATATATTCTCCACAATCTACGGTTGAAACAACACTGAATGCAACCGAACGTAACAACGATAACACTTTTTTTTTACAATTTGTGCTATACAAAAGAGCAGCGATAAGTTTCAAATGACATCATTCAACATTATGAAGATTGTGCTGCCATCTTTTTATTAGATAGAAAATTAATGCGTTAGAAATCGAAAATTAATCCATTCATATCCGAAGTCAACTTATCAATACATTTTTGTACAGTCCATAATGGAAAAATGATATTTATAATTATGAGCAAAAGCGTTTTGATAATTTTAAATGGTATGAATGTGGAATATGTAAAAATGGAAAATGATATTTAAAGATCCAAAATTTCGACAGCTTTTCCTGACTAAAGTTTTAGGACCCCCCCCCCCCCTAATATTTTGAAGGTCGAGAATTAAATCTATCGAAAAAGAAAGTGATGTTTCTTCAGAGAAATTATATGTTTATGTCCACTAACTTAACATATTCTTTGCGCGAGTAAATTTGTATGCTTTAAGTAAAAGATTGATTAAATTCGTATTTTAGTTCATAAAAATCAAATTACAAGATCAGAAGCTATCAATGCATTTCTTTTTTTATATTTTGTGCACTATACATTACTATTACGTATTAATTATTATTACGAGTTGTAAATTTCGCTTAGAATTTAAAAATTGTATATGCATTTCAATTTCAAAAACAACGTCTCAAAGAAAAACTATCAAAATCTGAAATTGAGTGAGATTTCAACAGAAAATGGTTTAGTAATGTAACTCGTATTTATTAAAATACATATTTATGCTTATAATTAGTTCAGAAAAATGACTTCTGCATTTCTTTCAATGCATTTCTTTTTTTATTTTGCACACTATACACTACTATTGCGCATAAATTATTATTACTATTTATAAATTTAGCAAAATTAAATATATACGCATTGCAATTTCAAAAACAATGCATAGTCTCAAATAAAAACTATCACAATCTAAAATTAAGTGAGATTTCAACAAACAAAAAAAAAATAATTTACTTGTACTTATTAAAATACATATTTATTCTTATAACTAGTTTAGAAAAATGATTTAGCACGCACTGTGGTTGAATTGAATTTAATGATGAAATGTAAAGATTTAAACCATAAATACAGTACCATCTCGATACAGCAAAAAACTGAAAAATAATTAACTATAATACAGCTAAAACATAGAAATATGTTTAATCTGCATCACAGTTAAGTATCTGTATTTAATTAGTGTACGCTGTGGAAAATCGTAACACAAAAACGACACGTGATTGTTAATCGCGCAATTAAATAATCACTTTTTGATACGGTATATCGGTACAGTTTTATCGTAAATCCTAGTTATTTTTCCTTCGTTTTTATTTCCGCAACGAATATCATTTGGTCGAATGTGGTAATGAATTGCGATTTTATCANTCGTACCCTGTTACAATTGACCCCACTCTCCCCTACTTATTAAAATACATATTTATCCTTATAACTAGTTTAGAAAAATCACTTTTAGGCAAAACACGAGCTGTGGTTGAGTCGAATTTAATGATGAAATGTAAAGATTTAAACCATATTTTATTAAATACAGTACCATCTCGATACAGCAAAAAACTGAAAAATAATTAACTATAATACAGCTAAAACATAGAAATATGTTTAATCTGCATCACAGTTAAGTAACTGTATTTAATTAGTGTACGCTGTGAAAAATCCTAACACGAAAACGTAGTAAATGAATTGATAACTGCTATCAAGTGCCTTTTATACAAGTTCAGTAATTGGGAGCTTGGATTCCAAGAGGAAGAAAACCATATTTTTGGCGATTTAACTATGATGTTATAACGACACGTGATTGTTAATCGCGCAATTAAATAATCACTTTTTGATACGGTATATCGGTACAGTTTTATCGTAAATCCTAGTTATTTTTCCTTCGTTTTTATTTCCGCAACGAATATCATTTGGTCGAATGTGGTAATGAATTATGATTTGATCAAAAGCCAAATATTCGGCAAAAAAAAAAAAAAAAAAAAAAAAAAAAAAAAAAAAAAAAAAAAAAAAAAAAAAAAAANAGCAACACTGAAACTAAAATTTCAATGCTCAGAATAATATTTCCTGGAAAAACGTATTTATAAATTAACACTAAAAAATAAGGCCAATCACAAACGTTTTTAAAAATGTCGAAAAGCGAAACAGAGAACATAAAAATCAATCTTAATTTTTGAAATTTTTTTTTTAAAGCTGAACATCTCAGTTTTTCAATTACCAGAAAAAGCCAAGAAAAAAGAATTAAGTCAACAAAAATGCTATTAAAAATTACTGCGTTACAATGAAAACATGTAAAAAAAGTTTTTTTTTTTATTTAAAGGAAATAAAAAGATAGAAGAAACGTTCTTAATTTTTTCAATAAAAATCCTATGCCGAAAATCTCAATTTATATTTTTCTCATTGTCATAATTTTAGAAGAAAAAAAATTGCTATAAAATAAATTTTACTAGTAACTTTATTTTTAAAAATAATGCAGAGTCATAATAAAAATGCCTAAAAAAAGAAAAACAGAAAAAAACAAATTTTTCTTAGTTCCTGAAACAAAACACTAACACTGAAATCACACTTTTCTATGTTACTGGTTATTTATATTACAGTACAGGGAAAGAGTGATAATAAATTAATAGTATGAGACGTTCTGTTAAAGTGCTGGGTTATAATAAAAACAGCAAAAAACGAAAAAACGACAAAATTGACTAGTCTGATTATAATTTTTAAAAAAAAGTAATATCTATAAAAATTCAAAAATAAAAAAAACTTAGAAAAATACATTTCTAAAAAATATTCTGCCGAATATTTGACTGATCATTCAACCAACTGAATTTTTTATAGAAGGGCCAAATACTCGTTACATTCCTAATTTAAATGCAATGCTATTACAACTTGAAAAATTCATATAATGGCGTAAAACGTGAATTTTTAAACTGCTCACTGCTTGTAGTTTAGATTTCAATTTTTTGTTGCTTAAGTGATCTTTTTCGATAAAAAAAGGAAAATGTTTACGATATAAAAAAAATCTAATAATTAATAAAATGAAATAATAAAGTACATTACAAAATAAGCATTGGATTTTATTTTGAACTATCACAGTTTTGCTTTTATTTTAGGCTTTTGTTTAAAATCTATAAATTTTCTTCAATTAAAATATTTAATATATTACTTAATTATAACTAAACTTTTTCCTAATTCATTGCAGTTCTTTTTATTTATTAGAATTTAATTCTAAAATGAATTTTCGTATTGCATATGATAAAAAAAATCATTTCTTTTCTTCAATGTTTATTTATTTTGATAAATCTATTGTTCATGTGATAAAAATAGCAATTTTTTTGTTGTAAAAAAAAGTATAAGTTTTTTAATTTTTGAATGAATTCTAATAATGGAACACTACTAAGTTATTGATATTACAAAGTTTATTGATAAAAAAAATGGAGCGCTAATGTTTAAATAAGCATTAGCATGTCTAAATACATGTGCAGCCCTTCATTAGCCAACCTGCTGTGCAAGTGGCCCTTCACTCAAAAAGGTTGTGCACTCCCCTAGTTTCATAGATATAAAGGCTATATTAGTCCCTGCCTAGATTAGAGTTATTATTTGTTTATGTATTTTATTGTAACAGCGATATATTTGTGTTTTGTTTTGTCAATAAGAAATTTGCTGCTGGTCAACAACTTTTCTTTATTTCCATTAAAGAAATACTTAGATTTTAAAAAAATTGAATGTAAAAATTGATTTTATTAATACACACTGCAGTGCTTAAATAATAACACTTGTACAGCCAAGTGTTGCGGATGATAGCTGTGGTAATTGTAGTTATCAAGCATGTCAAACTCCATCTATGAAAGTCCCGCAGTGGACTGATCGTTAAGACACGGTTCCCAGCAGATCACCGAAGTCAAGCATCACTGGCTGCGGTCAGTGTGCGGGTGGGTGACCACTTGGATCAGTCTGCGTAGGGACCGAGGGTGTGCGGTATTGGTCCTCGTTAAACTGTGCTACCGTAAAGTGCTCGACTTCGCGCGCAGGTCGTCGGGCTACCGAAGCGGGGGTGCCATCCCCTCCGCAGAGGATCAAAATTGTGATGGCATGTTGTCGGATCATCCTCCGGGATGTTTCCCAGACCGTCGCCAATAGCCCATTGTGCAGCTCTAGTGCGACGTAAATTAACAACAACAACAACGACCATCTATGAAAAGGTACCTCATCATAGAATCGAGTCTTATATACTAGTGAATCGGAATTTTGTAGTGGTAGACACACTACAGTTCTCCCCCACCAGAATTATATCTGTTATGAACTGATACCACTAGTGGATTCAATGCTGTTTTGTGAGAAGCCGAGAGAGCTGTATTTAGATCACCCTACTTTTGAATGCAAATCGTGAGAGCAGTATTAAGTTCGCGGTCCCTCCTGTGTTGCCTTTAGAAGTTGAGTGTATACGTTGTGTGCGATCGAGACTGAGTAGCAACAGCGCGAGGAGATGGGTAATGACGAAGTCACAAGTAGCAAGTCAACTGGTCAATGTGGCTCATCCATCGAAGTTCAGATCGAAGTGGGCGTCACTCTCAAGATAGGTATGTTCACATCACGTCCGAAGGTCACCCACGTGGGGAGATTCATAGCGACCATGTCAATAACCTTCATCCATAAAAAGGTACTCCACCATAAAATCAAGTTAACATTTGTTATATATACTAGTGAATTGGAATTTCTATTTTTGTAGTGGTAGACACACTACATTAGCCATTAAAAATGGTTAAAAATGTTTCTTTAGGCAAGTTAATGAAAACCGCTAACTAAATATAAAAATGAACTTTTTTAAATTAAAAATTAATGACAATATTAATTTTAACTATCGCTATTTCCTGACGAAATATCACGATATTAAGATTAGTGTATATTTTGTTGCACTCAATTTCTAAAATTGATTTCCTTTTGTTTGTTGAATTTATTAGTTTAATTTACTTAGTAAATTTTATTTATTTATTTATTAAATTCTATTTTATTTATTTATAGGAGGAGGAGGGACGGGAGGAGCAGTAGCAGGTCAAGCAGGAGGTACTGGTATTCGGTGATAATTGTTATTTTAATAGAAAATTATTCATAATGATTTAGATGACTCTGTGCATTCCAAACTTTGCAACTAATTGCTACTGACAAAATCTGTTAATTTTGTGTAAGTGTTTCATTTGAAATGCAAACAAAAATGGAATACTGCTTTCTCAAAAAAGTTAAGTGGCTTCGAAAATCAACCGCCCCCCCCCCCAATAACATGCGCTAACAAGTTTGAAATGTTTTGAAATATTTTGGGAAATAGGGAAAGTGGATATTAAAGAAAGTTCGTTAAATAGAAAATCAACTTCACTATATGGAAGTTATTTCACGAAGGAATTTCCAAAATGTTCTTGATTCCACGAGGAAAAAAAAATCGCAAAATAGAGAAATTCGCAAAATGGAAGTTCGTTAAATAGAACTTCGACTGTATTTTTATTTTATGAACCTGAAATGCACTTTTTGATATATATTTCCATGTTAAACAATTTTTTCGCTTTTTCCTTTTGCAGCGGCATCTGTTACCAAACAGAAAAGCCTGTAATTCAAATTGGGGTTTATTTATGGAAAATCTGTAACAAAAAAAAAAAAAAAAAAAAAAAAAAAAAAAAAAAAAAATAGAGAAAGGTTGTTCCCACTCCAAACTCGAGGGGTGGTTAAATTTGATATGAATGGATGCATCTTTTGAAATTATTTTACTCCTTTTGTTTTAAATTTTTGATGGGATGCGAAATTTTCGAAATATTTTTCCATTTCAAATACAGTGTTTTTTCACTACCATTTTCTGATTTTTCGGACTCTTTGTTTTTATTTTAGATTAAATTACCTTATTTTGTTTTATAGTAATAACCAAAGTGTATAACCATAAGATGTTGTTGTTGTTGTTGTCGTGAGCCTCTAAGGCAAGGGGTACGATTTTTCCAGTGGCGCCATCTATGGTCAAAAATTCTACTTTAGCCACACCCATACGTCTCACCCGCTTATAGGGCGGACCCTTTCCTTTAATTCATCTTACCATAAGATAATTTTGTTAAATAAAGATTTTTAAAGATAACAAAAAAAGCCATCTTCAGTTATAATTTGTAGAATTTTTTTTACTTTCTCTTAGGACTTTAAAGATAAAACTACTTATTCAAACTAAATTAAGTATTGCTTATTTTAAAGCCTGAAATTTTTATTCATATCAAAATGAAAATATTATTTTAATATTATTTTAATTTTGATAATTTTTTAAATATTATTTCTTAGAAGTTTATAAAAAAATTATATCTTTTAAATGATTCAGCGAGACAAACAAAATTCAAAAAGATTTAATTTATATTAACGTATTGGAATCGCTCAAGGAACAGATATGAAGAACTTAGGCCAATTTAGAGTGGTATTTTAACATCAGATTGTTTTTAGCAATACTTCTAAATTTGTGCTTAAGAAGTTCCGAATTTTCACAATCATAATGTGTCTCACTTAAATTTCTTTACTGAACAATTAGGAAAATGTGACTTGGAATTATGATATTCCAAGTGTTACATATAAAACTTGAAATTAATGAAATTTAGTTTTTATTAAAAAAAATAGATCAAGCTGATGTTTGTTTTATGCTTGTTAGGTATGAATAAACTAATTTAAATTACATTCCACGTTTCTTCTTTTTAAGGTAATAATAACAATGGATATCAAGGCTACAATAATGGATACAACTATAATGGATACAATTATAATGAATACAATTATGGTGAGACTAATAATAGTTTTCCTACACCAAAATTTGACTGCACTTAATTGTCAGTTGCACTTCATTTTAAAGCATGCCTGAATTCCAGTTCTACGAGATTTGATACTACGAGAAAAATTATCATCCTTCTCATCCTAAGTTACCACACTAATGATGGCACTTCTCAATTCTCTGAGGGAATAGTGCGATCGCTTCCTATTGAGCTAACCCAGGGTCGAATTTCGGCGATAGTTTATAGAAGCGAATTCGGCTGCCCCCTCGAAACCTACCACAGAACTGGCGTAGAATATCCTCATTGATCATGGGTCAAAGTATACCATTGCCACGAAGCTAACCTTGACATTTTTCATGGTTTTCTTCTAAGTGAAACGCAGATACCGGTAGGTTCTTCCGAAAAGTCCTCCACCAAGACTAGTTTGTCCCAATGCTTTCTCTTATCTTCTGGGTTTAGCTCCAAATCATAAGGTTACGAAGTTAAATATTGATAGCCATAAACCCTAAAATGACTCGCCTGTTCCACGCCGGTAATAAAACAAAATAAAATTTAATAACTTCAAAAAATTTTATTATTATTATTAGGGAATATTTAATTTTCGTTGAAGAAGAATAAATTATTACTGTTTTATAGATGTTTCTACTATTTAATTATATTCTAAACTTCTAAACATATTCTAAACATTCAAAACAAATGATACGATACTACAGTATGGGGCAAAAAAATTTGAGACTTTTAAAATTGTGAATTTTTGGTGATTTTTTGTCACCATTTTATTTTGTTTTCAAACGATGTCAAAACTAATTTTTGTTTAAAAATATATTTAATTTACAAAATTTTGATTTTAGTGAATAATTATGACCAGGCAAAGAAAGATTTGGAAAGAAACTTTAATAAGAGTAGGTATTCATGACATACGAAAACGGATAGAAATGATTGAAAAGAACAGAGGTACAAAAAAGGTTCAAAAATAACGGAAGGGTTTAAAAAAGACCAGAGAGGGCCTTTCAGCAAACGATAAGCGTAACACGAAACAACTGATCGGTTAGCAACCTTCCCACAATGGAAACAAACAATTCTAGACCTCGGACTACAAGACAAACCACTAAATGGTCGGATGATAATGAAATAAAATAGCCTGCCCGTGATCCCAGTCACATAAACAGGTTTAAAAGAATAATTATAATTAAAGAAACTGAGCCGCGATGGCTCAGACAAACCGGGTTCGAATCCCAGTACGATACGACTTTCGCATCCGGCTTGCACCGGCCACAGTGCTGACGTGAAATATCCTCAGTGGAAGACGGGTCACGAGTTTGAGTCCCCTTGCCGTCAGGCTAACCGTGTGAGGCTTTCGTGGTCTTCCTCTCCATGTAACGCAAATGCGGATTAGCTCCATCAAAAAAGTCCTTCACAAAGACAAATTTCTCCCAATAATTGATCCAGGAGTTTCCTTGTCATCTGTATTGGGTTCAAAATGACGGGGCTACGGAGTTGAACATTAGTAGTTGTAAACCCAAAAATTGGGTCGGCTGTTCAACGACGGTCATAAAATAAAATTAAATTAAAGAAGCAGGGGTCTGTTTGGTAGGGCACTGGGACCAAGTCCAGGAATTCGTGGGTTCGATCCCCGCCGGTCGAAGACTCCCCGTGTAGTAAATGGTGACTGTGCACGTTAAACCTGTCGAGTCGCAAAGTCCTCCATGTTCCCATAACGAATCAATACCTCTGGGGGTACTGATAGAGGAGTTTCCTTGTCTTCTCGANTTCAATTAGCAACGACTACATTTAAGTTACCGTTTTTTATTTAATTACAACTTGATTCTATTTTGTACGAATGCTTTTCTGAATCACCCGTCCCCAAGGGGTTAAAGAAGCAGAGGCCTGGTTGGTAGGGCACTGGGCCCATGTCCAGGAATTCGTGGGTTCGATCCCCGACGGTCGAAAACCCCTCGTGTAGTAAATGGTGACTGTGCACGTTAAACCTGTCGAGTCGCAAAGTCCTCCATGTTCCCATAACAAATCAAAACCTCTGGGGGTACTGATAGAGGAGTTTCCTTGTCTTCTCGATTGGTTCAAAATGACGGGGCTACGGAGTTGAAGATTAGTAGTTGTAAACTCAAAAATTGGATCGGCTGTTCAACGACGGATATGAAATAAAAATAAAAAAAATTAAAGAAGCATTAAGGACAGTAAAAGAATTAAAAGATTTGGTAAAAATAAGAGAAGAAAATTCCGACATTATTAAATATTTCATAGATTCTGCGCCAAAACTATTTCAAATAGTTATGAATGCTAAAGAAGAAAGAATTTACAACCAATTTATCTCTGTAATGCTGTTAAGAAAAAATAAGATATCTTGAAATGCACTTTCATTTCTGTTTCCATTTTTACTTACAGTCCTTGACTAAATTATTCGACGCATTCTAAGATTCTATTTAAAATCTTAATTAACAGGTGATACTATAACAGCTTTATTGTTTGTACGTGACTGAAATCGGAATGTACTTGTTTACATTCGTGTATCAACTGGTTAAATTAGACAATAAAAAATATAAATTCAATGATTGAATAAATTAGACGATATATTATATAAATATAGAATATTTATTATATCAGGTATTATATTAGTATATTATAATAATTAGACGCACTGTAGTTTTTTCAATAATGACATGTTTTGCACTATTTTATTCGCAATACTTTTATAAGTAAACATACATGTAATGGGTTTTTATTCCGGAGATCCTATTAGTATTTATTTTTAACGTATTGCGTTACAATGTTAACCCGTTGATACACGAACGTAAAAACAATAAAGCTACAGTAAGTTCGCCATAATTAGCGAATATTACACAAAAATGGAGGACTTTATAATGCACACAAATATTCTTTTTAAAAATATTAAATTGGTTTGACTATGAAAACATTTTTTGTTATAATTTTATTAAATTTATAGGCAACAATAACGGGTATTCTCAAAATCAACAGTACCAGTATAGCTACAATAATCCTGTCAGATATAACACTTACTACTATCAAGGAGGTAATTACATTTCTGTCTGTAAATATATTTGATCATTGTCTCTATTTAAATACTCGTTTGCAAATAATCTAAACATATTAACTTAATAACGGGTGAAAATAATGATGCATAACATCGATGAAATATATCAGGAAAATTTCAAAAGATGTTTATAAAAATAAAGTAAGTTTTTTTTTTTAAATAAATAAAAATAATAATGTTGAAACTATATGTTTAGAATAATAGTGTTAATGTTACATACAATAATGGGAAATAATCATAATAATGTATGATAGAGTGACAGATAGATGCAAGAACGGGGAAAAAATCATAATAACGTATGATAATGAGAAAGTTTCATAAAATAACAGGAAATACACATAATTGGCTAGAGTAGTGTTTCCCAAACTTAAGGTTTTTATGTACCCTTTCTAAATTTTTCATAACGCTGTGTACCACTAATAAAAAAATGAATGTATTTTTTACTGTAAAAAAATTGCCCAAAAGTTTAAAAATCGCAACTGGCTGTTGACACCACTCATTATTAACTGTTAACTCTGCAAAAAATAGCCAATAGAAAAATACGTCATCGTAAATTTTCATGGCTAACTTTGTTTTTCGATAAGCATTTTTGAAATTTTCATTTGTTCCAACATATTTCGCATAAGAAAAAGTACCCCAGCTAAACTGTTCCCGTACCCCTGGGGGTACGAGTACCACACTTTGGGAAACACAGGGCATGAGAAGAATATATAATAAGAAGAAATAAGCTTAATAATACATTATTTTTGAATTAACAAATAGAAGTAAACAAATAAAAGTAAAGTATTGAAAAAATATAATGCAATAGGGAAGTAGAATAACAAGAAAGCCTAATGAGAAAGTATAATATAATGCGAAAGTATAATATAATAGGAAAGTGTAATAATGTGAAAGTTAAACAATGTAAAAGTTTTATATAAAGTTGAAGATTAACATAATGTTAAGGTATAATAAAACAAAAGTATGTAATGTCAAAGTAAAATAATGCGAAAAGGATAGATACATTAATATAAGCGTAACAGTATCGCATTATTAGAAATAATTAATTTCTAAATATATTTTTGAAATACGTATAATGCTATATTACCAGCCATATTCTGAAAAATTTTTGAAATCGTGATCAAGAGGTCAAAATGTATAATCATGAATCCTAGTGAAATGACTTTGAACAACCTATTTCTGTGGCTCAACATAGTTGAAAATCATTGTCAAATTTAAAATATCTATATTATCTTGTTTTGTCAACTTATAAATGAACCATCTTCTTAAAAAAAGTATTAGTAAATTTAATTCGTGATTTGTATCAAGTGAATTTAAATCAATGAATTCTAACAATTTAATAAGAACATTTTATTGGTAATTTAAACAATCAATGTGCTTCTCTATAAATGTGCTTCTCCCCCTGTGCTTCTCTAGTTGCTCCTATGGAGCATGTAAATAATGGTAGCTTCAATTGTACTTTTTCTTCAATTTCTACTATTAGTTCCCACACTCTACCTACATATATTTATATATCTTCTTCAAATTTTCAGTCGTTCATAAAATACTTTTTACTCATCATTCAAGTTGAAATACATTTTTTTTGAACTGGTTGTTTATGACACTTGATGTTAATACAGTTTTTTATAAATATTAATTCCTTAATTAAATTTAATCAATCAATTTTAGTTTTATATGGGAGCAAAAATTGTGATTATTTAACATAAAATAAGTAAACTGAAATTTTTCTTTGTTGTCCTGAGTAGGAATTGAATTGAAATTTTTTTTAATATTACTTGCTTACGATCTTTTACCCACTAATACATATCTAAATACTTCCAGCCAATGTGAATGGCGAATCTAATGGAGGACAGCAAAATGGTGGTAACGTTAATTATAATCTAAAAGGTAAATCTCTATTCTTATTCTCTTATAGTAGTATACAGTATATACCAAAAAAAATATGCCTTAATGTTTACATTTTTAGAATCCTAAAAAAAAAATGAAGATTTCAGAGAAAAAGAAACTAAAATAATTGTTGGAATTTGACGAGTCAGGATTGACTGAACATCAAATACCGTTTCATTGCAAACATTCATATTTCAACTGGCATGCAAACAAAATTTAATGTTCAGTACTCATGCTTTATTTAATTGAGTTCTCAAGAGCAAAAGAAGAAAAAAAACGAAGAACTCAATAGAAAAAAAAACTTAAATAGTAGTGACGCAACAGAAAAATACACGAATCTATTGGAGATAGATCTAAACTAAACATAGTAATGACAGTAAATTTTCTACATTTTCAACCTAATACTGTAATTTTAAAATTTACCAAATTTACTATCAATCAGCATGATAATAAAACCGTATTTTACAGATAAATTTGACTAAGGTCATATGCTATGGTAAAAAGTCAAATAAAGGTAAAAGATAAAGTGTTATCGTAAAAATTACGTTATTTTCTGGTGTTCTAAGAGATCCGATAAGCAAAATTATGTTTACCGTATTCTGGTAGTATTGATTATTCAATATTTCTCAGATTATTGACGTTTTGATATCCTTTAACCTCAACGCGCTGGTGGGAGAGTTCATCGGAAAAGTTCACTTTATCATAGGTGAGAGAAATTAAAGGGCTCGAAACATGAGTGAATCAGTGAAGAAATTTGTAAAAGTAGCAGGAATAAGAAACGATAGAAAATTCTCGTTTGAAGGGAAAAAAATTCAATTTAAATGTAAAAAGACGGCGATAAAACATCAAATACTACAATGGTAAATATTTGTTTTTATTGTAATTAAAAAACTAATAAAAAGATACCAAAATGGGGATGATAATAATTATATTTAAGTCAAAACTTTAGTTTTTGAATACTGAGCATTATCCTACTGCACTAACTTGGTGTATTGAGTTTGACTAATTTTTTCAAACTACTCATTAACGTTTACGGTTTCTAAACTTGACAAATACCTTTTCAATTCCATAATACACTCTCTTGTAATCTTAATTATTTATTTCTAAATACTTTCAGTTAATGTACATGGAGAAGGCAATGGAGGTCAGCAAAACGAAGGTTACAATAATTATAATGGTAAATACTTACTTTTATTATAATTGAAAATCTAATGGGAGATACCAAAATGGAGATTACAATATTTATATTGCAGTCGGAATATTTAGTTTTTGAATATAGAACAATATCCTTTCAGACTAACTTGGTCTATTGAGTATAACTAATTTTTTCAATCAGTCCATTAACGTCTACGATTTCTAAACTTGACAATTACCTTGTCAATTCCATGATGCGCTCTTTTTTAATCTTAATTATCCATTTCTAAACATTTACAGTTAATGTAAATGGAGGTTACAATAATTATAATGGTAAATATCTACTTTATTTGTAATTGCAAAACTAATGGAAGATACCAAAAATGGGAATTACAATAATTATATTCCAGTCAAAATATTAGTTTTTGAATATAGAACAATATCCTACCTGATTAAAGTGGTACATTGAGTATAACTAGTTTTTTAGAACTACCCATTAACGTTTACTGTCTCTAAACTTGACAATTACCTTGTCAATTCCATGATACCCTCTATTGTAATCTTAATTACTTATTTCTAAATATTTTCAGTTAATGTAAATGGAGGTTACAATTATTATAATGGTAAATATCTACTTTATTTGTTATTGCAAAACTAATGGAAGATACCAAAAATGGGAATTAAAATAATTATATTCAAGTCAAAATATTTGTTTTTGAATATAGAACAATATCCTACCTGATTAAAGTGGTACATTGAGTATAACTAGTTTTTTAGAACTACCCATTAACGTTTACTGTCTCTAAACTTGACAATTACCTTGTCAATTCCGTGATACACTCTATTGTAATCTTAATTATTTGTTTCTAAATACTTTCAGTTAATGTAAATGGAGAAGCCAATGGAGGTCAGCAAAACGGAGGTTACAATAATTATAATGGTAAATATTAATTTTATCTCGTTGACTAAAAATTAACACAAAAACAAATGTAATAGGGGGTTGACCAGTCTGACAAATACGTAACTTTTATGTTCACCAAACTTAATTCCAATTAACATGATAATATAACCCCACTTTATTCATCATAACACAAAAGTATTACTATAAAAATTACGGTAGAATTGGATAATTCAAAGAGTTTGAAAGCTCAATAACTTTTGCCATATTCTGGTAGTTTTAATTAGACTTTCTTTCTCATTGCATTAACGTTCTACAATCCTTAAACTTTAGTAATTTACTGTCAAATACATTGTACTGATATTTTTCCTAAAAACCACTTCTAAAGAGATTTTTAAAGCGAATTGAGAAGCAAATAGATGATTCCAGAATGCGGATTATAATAATTAAAAGAATGAAAAAATATTCGTTTTTAAGAACAGAATAATATTCTAATGGACGTACATAGACCATCGGGATAAGCAATTTTTAAATTTGCACATTAAATTTTGTCTATGTATTAATGTTTCTAGGTCATTAAAGTTTGCAATTTCCTCACAAATTCCATGAAGCTTTGCATTGATTTGTTCCTACTTATGCATTTCTTAATACTTCCAGCTTATGTAAATGGTGAAGCTAATGGAGGACAGCAAAATGGTGGCAACGCTAATTATAATTACAATGGTAAATCTCTATTGTTATTCTATCTCAGTAGTATACAGTATATACCAAAAAATATCTCTTAGCGAATATATTTTAAAGTCCTAAAAAAAGATGAAGATTTCAGAGAAAAAGAAACTGAAATATTTGTTCGAATCTGACTAATAATGGTTGACTGAACATCAAATACCGTTTCATTGAGGATAGTTCCAGACTCATTCACAGATCAACTCGCAAGCAAACAAAATTTGATGTCATGCTTTCCTTAATTGCGATTTCGCAGGAGTAAAAAAACGAAAAACTCAATAGAAAAGAAAAAAAATTAAAATCTCAGTGACGAAACGGAAAAATGCACGATTCTATTGGAGAAATTAGATCTTAACTTAATATAGTAATGATAGTCAATTTTCTACATTTTCAACCTAATACTGTAATTTTAAAATTTACCAAATTTACTATAATCCAGCATGATAATGAAACCTTATTTTACAGGTAATTTGGATTTAAGTGATATGCAATGGTAAAAAGTCAAAAAAAGGTAAAAAGTATGCTATGGTAGTTAAAATGCTATCGTAAAAATTACGTTATTTTCTGGTGTTCTAAGAGATCCGATAAGCAAAGTTATGTTGACCGTATTTTGGTGGCTGACCGTATTCTGGATTATTCATTATTTCTCAGGGTATTGACACTTTGTTATTCTTTAACCAATACATGCTGGTAGGAATGTTCAACCGAAAAGTTAACTTCATCATAGGTGGGAAAAATTAAGGGGCACAAAACATGAGTGAATCAGTGAAAAAATATTTTTTTTTAAAGTAGCCGTAATAATCTTAATTATCCGATTCTAAATATTTTCAGTTAATGTAAATGGAGGTTACAATAATTATAATGGTAAATATCTACTATATTTGTAATTGAAAAGCTAACGGAAGATCCCGAAAATGGGAATTACAATAATTATATTTGAGTCAAAATATTATTTTTTGAATATGGAACAATACCTGATTAAATTACTCTATTGACTATAGCTAGTTTTTTAGAACTACCCATTTACGTTTACTGTCTCTAAACTTGACAATTACCTTATCAATTCCACGATGCCCTCTATCGTATTCTTAATTATTTACTTCTAAATACTTTCAGTTAATGTAAATGAAGAAGCTAATGGAGGTCAGGAAAACGGAGGTTACAATAATTATAATGGTAAATATTTAATTTTATTGTTTGATTTCATTATTCATGAAATAGTAAAATAAAAAAATGTCCCGCAAAGCTCCTTTTGATATATATGCGCGCGTAGTTTTGAAGTTTTAAAAACTCTTTTGCAATTAACATGATAATAAAACTACATTTTACTAATCATTGCACAAAAGTCATTACTGTATTACTGTAGAAATTACGGTAGAATTGGATTATTCAAAGAGCTCGAAAACTCGATAAATTTTGCCATATTCTAGCCCTCTTGATTATACTTTCTTTCTCATTGCATTAACATTTTACGATCTTCAGCAATTTTTTATCAAATCCATAATGTATTGTACTGATATTTTTCCTAGAAAACATTTCCAAATAAATTTTTCTAAACCGAATTGAGAAGCAAATAGGTGATACCAGAATGTGGATTACAGTAATTAAAAGTATGTTAAAATAATAGTTTTTTAAGAAAAGAATAATATTCTAATGGACGTACTGAGATCATCAGGTTAAACAATTTTTAAATTTACACATTAAATTTTGTCTCTCCATTAATGTTTCCAGGGCATTAAACTTTGCTCTTTCTTCACAAATTCCATGAAGCATTGCATTGATTTGTTCCTACTTATGCATTTCTTAATACTTCTAGCTTATGTAAATGGAGGGGCTAATGGAGGACAGCAAAATGGTGGCAACGCTAATTATAATTACAATGGTAAATCTCTATTTTTATTCTCTCATAGTAGTATACAAAAAATTCCTTATTGTATATTTTTAAAATCCTAACCAAAAATGAAGATTCCAGAGAAAATGATTGTTGGAATCTGTCGAATCACATACCCATTCATTGCGAGCAGTTCCAGCCTCATTCATATTTCAACTGGCAAGCAAGTTCAGTATTCATGCTTTCCTTAATTGTGATTTCTCATGAGTAAAAAAAAAAGTGAAACTTAATAGAGGAAAAAATAAAATAAAATACTAGTGCCTCAACCGAAAAATATACGAATCTAAGAGGAGCTCTAAATCAGACATAGTAATGATAGTAAATTTTCATCCTCATAGTGTAACTTTAAAATTTATCGAATTTACCATCAATCAACACCCTATTTCGCAGGTAGTTTTGACTAAAGTCATATGCTATGGTAAAAAGTAGAAAAAAAAGGTTAAAGTATGCTATGGAAGTCAGAGTGCTATGATAAAAATTACGTTATTTTTTGGTGTTCTAAGAGATCCGATAAGCAAAATTATGTTTACCGTATTCTGTTGGTTTTGATTATTCATTATTTCTCAGGGCATTGACGTTTTGTTATTCTTTAACCGTAACACGCAGGTGGGAAAGTTCATCGGAAAAGTTCACTTTATCATAGGTGAGAAAAATTCGAGGGCTCGAAACATCAGAGAATCATTGAAGAAATATGTAAAAATAGCAGGAATAAGAAACGATAGAAAAATCTCGTTTGAAAGAAAAAAGCTTTCAATTGAAATGTAAAAAGAAGGCGATAAAACATCAAATACTATAAGGGTGAGTATTTACTTTTATTGTAATTGCAAAACTAATGGACAGATACCAAAATGGGGATCATAATAATTATATTTAAGTCAAAACTTTAGTTTTTGAATACAGAACGATATCCAAATACACTCACTTGGTCTATTGAGTTTAACTAATTTTTTCAAACTACTCATTAACGTTTACGGTTTCTAAACTTGACAATTACCTTGTCATGATGTACTCTATTGTAATCTTAATTATTTATTTCTAAATATTTTCAGTTAATGTAAATGGAGAAGCCAATGGAGGTCAGCAAAACGGAGGTTACAATAATTATAATGGTAAATACTTACTTTTCTTGTAATTGAAAATCTAATAGAAGAAACCAAAATGGAGATTACAATATTTATATTGCAGTCGAAATATTTAGTTTTTGAATATAGAACAATACACTTCCAGACTAACTTGGTCTATTGAGTATAACTAATTTTTAAAAGCTACCCATTAACGTTTACGGTCTCTCAACTTGACAATTACCTTGTCAAATCCATGATGTGCTCTATCGTATTCTTAATTATTTATTTCTAAATATTTTCTGTTAATGTAAATGGAGAAGATAATAGAGGTCAGCAAAATGGAGTTTACAATAATTATAATGGTAAATATTTAATTTTATTGTTTGATTTCATTATTCTTGAAATAGTAAAATAAAAAATGCCCCGAAATGCTCGTTTAGATACATAGTTTTAGAATCCTGACTGAAAATTAAAGCAAGAACAGTTGCAATCGAAAGTTGACTAGTCAGACAAGTGCGTAGTTTATAAGTTTAACAAACTTAAGTCGAAATAGTATGATAATAAAACCACATTTTAATTACCAAAATACGATAGAAATTACGGTAGAATTGGATAATTCAAAGAGCATGAAAACTCGATAAATTTGACCATATTCTAGTAGTTTTGATTCTACATTTTTTCGCATTGCATTAATGTTTTATGGTCTTTATATGAACTTTAGTAACTTCTTATCAAATCTATAATGTATTGTTTTGATTTTTTTCCTAAAAACATTTCTAAATAGTTTTTTCGAAGACAAATGGAGAATTAAATATATTATAACAGAATATGAATATGATTAAAAGTATGCCAAAATATTTTGTACAGAATAATATTCTAATGGACGTAATAAGATCATCGGGATAAACAATTTTTAAATTAACCTATTAATGTTTTCAGGTCCTTAAACTTTTCCATTTTCTTATAAATTCCATGTTGCATTGCACTGTTTTTTTCCTACTTATGCATTTCTCAATTTTTCCAGCTTATGTAAATGGAGAAGCTAATCCAGGACAACAAAATGGCGGTTACAATAATTATAATATTTATGGTAAATAATTACTTTCATATTTAATTTCAGTGTTATCCTTTCAGAAATAAAATTCAAAATGTTCCATAAAAATTGTCTGCACTTTCAAATTCATAACTAAAAATGTTGATAAAATTTTAGTTAAGATCATAAATATATATTTCGGAAAGAAAGAAAACAAAAATGGTATTGAAAAACGGCGAAACACTGTTGGGAAAACAAAATTCCGTATGAGTGCAAGAAAAACTTGCAGGACTTGGTGCTCGATTACTAGAAAAACCTTCAAATTACAGAGTTTAATGTTCTGTATTCTCCTAAATTTTAATTTAATGGCTTTTGGATATTGGCTAATGGATTTCGATGGCTTTTTTGTTGTCTACTCGCTTAAATATACTTTTTGTTTACAATTTTTAATAAGAATATTTGTAACAATTACCTGTTTGAATATATAATTTTGAAAACTATTTTTGTGTTTCTCGTCTTATATTTTGTAAAAATGAATCTAAATAATGTGCCTCGGAATATTTCTGATGAAAACTGGTTAAACACAAACAACCTTAACAACAAATTATTTGTTCGTCATTCAATTGAATATTTTAATTTTCTTATAAATTTGATCCATCTTTAACCTTAAGCAAGCAGTAGGAAAGAGACGGCAAATTCCTATGCATTAGAAAACGTGAGCTTACTAATGCAAAACAATGGGAATCTGCCCCTTTTACTTACCTTATCAGTGTTTGGCCTACCTTATTTGCAAGTGCACAAGTACACATTTTTAACCGGTAGTAATAAAAAAAATTATTTAATGTTGCTTATGAGAAAAATATCGCCTTCACTAATATGCCGTAGTAACGTAACGGAAAAAACGCCTTGAAGACAACGATTCTAAACCGGAGGTTGTAAATTTTTTGGCCAGAGGATTATTTTGCAAAACCATACAACATAATAAAAAAAAATTCTTGTTCACTTTAACAGAACTCATTACCAATGTACTACTGTAAAAATTATCGTTTTTTTTGTGTGTGTTGCCATAAAATCGGAAAACAAGATAAATTTTACCATATTCTAGTAAATTAATTTTTAAATGCTTTAATGTTTAACGGTCGTTAAACTTCACAATTTTGTATCACTTTCATGATGCTTTGTATAGATCTTTTTCCTGTGCCTGCACATTTCTAAGTACTTTTAGCAGTCTTAATGGAGAACAACAAAAGAGGGATTATAATAATGCCAAAAACATTTGTTTTTGAATACAGAATAATATTCTATTACTTGGACTGTTAGATATAAGCAATATTTGAATCTACGTATTAATGCATTAAGGTCTTCAATATTTACAATTTTCTCCTCAATTCCATATTGCATTGTAATGATTTTTTTTTCTACATACGCATTTCTAAATACTTTCAGCCAATGTAAATGGAGAACCTAATGGAGAACAGCAAAATGGTGGTTACGCTAATTATAATTATTATGGTAAGTATTATTTCAACATAAATATACACAATGAACCTTAATATATATTTTTATGAATCCTAACCAATATTCAAGACACACTGTTGTGGTTCGCAAACAGAGGAAAAAACAAAAATTCTATTAAAATCCCGTAAATGACAGTTGAACAAAAGATAAAATTTTATTTAATGGTGGAGAGAAAAAACGGAGAAACGTTAATCGGTTTTGATAGTATATTTGTTTTTTCCTTCTTTTTATTATAAGTATCTTCTTCATAAAGTATCTTCTTTATGTCTTCTTATTTGATAACCTTCTAAAATAGAAAATGTCCCGTAAAAATATTCTACAAATATGTATTGAAGGATATATGTATTTGTGATACGCCCTATGCATCAAGTTACCGAATATCTTAAAAGTAACAATCATTATGAAAATTCGATAGATGGAAAGAGACAAAAATGCACGCTTTACTCTTTTTTTTTAGAAACCATTTAATTTATTCTCCTCAATTATCAAAGTTAGTAATAAAGTTGGAACGCAGATGGCGCTGTTAACCAGAAAAACTATGCAGCATTGTTTTTTGTTGCACTTTAATACATTCTAATTAAAGTATATTTGAATTAGAATCAGTTCATTTCGTTCTCAGACTGCAAAACGTTGCAGTGGTTTTTCTTAAAAAAATGTTTTATATTGTTTCTCGGTTAACAGTGCTAATTATAATCAAATTATGTTTTGATATAGCATTTTCTTTGAACTTAATAGTTCTCAACTGGAATCATGGTAATAAATCTAGTTCTGAGTGTTGTAAATTGGCCAGTTCAGCGACACGGAGCTTATGGAGCAAGCTCTAAGTTTTTTCAACTTTTAAAAGGTAAAGAAACGTTTGAGAACCGATTTTTCGAAAGATTCTGCTCATAGTTTTTGCGTGACGTCATTCTTTATTTAATAATAATTATTCTATACATATTTTAATTGATTCTATTAGAAAAACAATCTGTAGTAAAAAAAGCAGTTAAAATCTTTAAAGAATAATAAGATACAATTCACGATTTTCAGAAACTTAAGAAACATTCTACTGTGTCTGGTTTAATTGTTCTGCTTAAAATGCAAAAATCAAATTCTTAATTTCTGAATGTATGAATTAATTTGATGAAAAACTTGAAAGAAAAAAAAAACCTGTCTGCGTTGAAAATATTTTGGTTACTGGGAAATATACAGCGTTGAAAAATATTTTGTATTAAAATGTAAAATTTGTTTTCAAAACATTATAATCCAACACAAATTATGATTGTCGCATAGTGCTGGGTGATAAAAAAATTGAAAGGTACTATTGTTCCGCAACATCCCGGACACAAAATAGGTAAAATTTTTACAAAAAAACAAAAACAAAAAAAAAACATTTGAAGAGGAAACTAAAGAAAAGGAATACTTTCATAGTCCAGTGTTGAAAAGAAAGAGTCGGATACCTATATCACTAATAACCAGTCTTTTTTTTTTGGAAGAACTAAAACAAAATATTTATTTAGTCCTTATAGTCATCTGTTAGGCACACAATAGGAAAAAGCACACTGGTGAAGGTCTGGATAAGAGAATTTCAGGGGATCTAGTCAGAGGGCATTCTTGGACACATTGCTCAATCACGGAAAACTATGCAGGAAAAGTAGATTCCATAGCACAATGGAGGGTATGATATTGCAAATTTATCCGATGAGACAGCTGATGAGATTTAATGGCACCATCCTTCCATGCTGTCTTGCTCCGTTTAACGGAGACGAGACAACAGAAGAAAATACAAAAATTGAATGCGTTAAGCGCAGCCAGCCCTTAAATACCAGAAATGCTATAAACAAGTTACAGCCAGGAAAAAATTGAAGTAAATAAGCAACAAAAAGGAAAATAAAAGTTAAAGTATTTAAATATTTAAGATAGTTAGGGTTAAGAAACCACAAAAAATGTAGAAGTAAAAGGTCTCACGTGGATAGATCAAAAAAAGGCGAAGCACCTGCTATTCTACGAATCTGAAGGGAGCAACATTTCAGTTCACTTTTCTAAGGGAAAGTGTAAAAAAATACGAAATAAATTCAAGGGATAAACTTTAGATCTTAAAATAGTGAGTGACTCAATGTCACAATGATGTCTCAATGTCACAATGTCACACTATACATACCCGAGTTTTCTCGGGATAATAAATGTTTGCAATCTATACATACCCGAGTTTACTCAAAATAGTAAATGTTTGCAATCTATATATACCCGAGTTTACTCGAGATAGTAAATGTTTGCAATCTCTACATACCCGAGTTTACTCGAGATAGTAAATGTTTGCAATCTGTACATACCCGAGTTTACTCGGGATAAAAAATGTTTGCAATCTGTACATACCCGAGTTTACTCGGGATAATAAATGTTTGCTATCCATACATACCCGAGTTTACTCGGGATAATAAATGTTTGCAATCTATACATACCCGAGTTAACTCGGGATAATTAGGGAAGCGGTAAATACATTGTTTATTTAGAATATAATTTATTTTAATAAAATAAACCTCTATATAATTGATTAAATTTTTTCAGGATATTATCCTCCAAATTATTATTATTATAATGCTGATGGAACCATTAACAAGGACGGTAAATGTCTACTTTTTTTACTTGAATAAGCAATTACTGTAATAATTATAATAAAAATTATTATTACCGAGAATATAATAGATTAGCAATATTAAAAATAGCAAAATAGTTCAATTTTACTTAACAAATTTTTACATCATTTTATGTTCGATAATTTTAAATTAAAAAAATATATAAATTGAATAAAATTAGTCAAATAATTCTTGAGAAATCGAGTTTTAAAAATAAGTAGTTTTTTAAATTTTATTACTTAAGAACTACTTATCTAATCCCGCATAAATTTTGTATTTTGTCATTTGAAATTATCAATTAAAACATGTTTTTCAGTATGCTAAGGTTCAATATGCTTCAGTATGTTAAATGCTCTAAAAATTATTCGAGAAAAAACTTGCATAAGAAAAAGAAATCTGGATTTTAAATGTTGAACAATTAAAAAAAAAACTTACAAAAAGTAAAAGCAACATCATTCCAAAAAGCTGCTAATGAATGCTTAAACTTCGCCAAAAGAATCTTTTTACCCCAAAGAAACACCACAACATCCAAATTAACTTAAATACCAAGACCTTTATTTTCCTTCATTCAAAGAGCAAATTTTTTAATTTCAAAATCTAACTGTTGTTGTAGTTCATTTGCGTTGCACTAGAGCTGCACAATGGGCTATTGGCGACTGTCGGGGAAACAACCCTGAGGATGATCCGAAGACATACCATCACAATTTTGACCCTCTGCACAGGGGATGGCATCCCCGCTTCGGTATCCCGACGACTTGCACGTGAAGTCGAGCACATTAAGGTAAAACAGTTTAACAAGGACCCACCCTCGGTCCCTACGCAGACTGATCCAAGTGATCACCCACCCGAACACTGACCGCAGCCAGTGATGCTTGACTTCGGTGATCTGCCGCGGGATTAACGATCAGTCCACTGCGAAATCTAACTGACATAAATAGTTCGCTGGTTTTATTTCACTTGTCATTACATATATATTCTTTTATTTTATAACAGTCGCGATGAAGAACATTTACATCAATCACATTTACATATTAATATTACATATCAAACTCGCATTGTCCCTTACAAACACATCGCTGATATCCCTGACCTCCCGAAAGAGATCACTTCCTAACGCATTCTCAAAGAGACATTGGAAGATCTGGAACATTGTCAAGCAAAATAAATTTTTCTTCACAAATTGCGAATTGATTTCTATTATACAACAGTGAAAGTCTTCCTTGTTTATCACACTGTTAGGGACTTTTATCATTACGAGTTAGTAATTATGCAAACAAACCGGTTAATTTGATAAACAGAACCAACTAGTCATGCGTGCCGGGACATCGCAGCACATTTCGGGCCAGGGCAGCCTGACTTGTCGGACCCGTGAGGTTGTGAGTTCAATCCCCGCCAGCAGTAGACTCTCAGTGTACAAAATGGTGACTGTCGTACTCACGAAGTCCTCCAAGCTCCCATAGCAACTTAATACCTTTGAGGGTACTGGATGGGAGCATTCATTCCAAAATTACGATCGGATGGTGTGAGAATGTGTCCTCCCTGTAAATCGGGATGTGACGGATGTATGTTGTCTTCGGACCATTCTCAGGGATGTTTCCCAGACTGTCATCCATTGCCCAGTTGTAGTGCGACTTTAATAAAACTAAGTACCGTGTGCTCAATTCAGTATATAAGGCTTATAAGCCCTAGTCAAGCTGAAAACCAGTTAGTGAAAGTGAGAGAAAACATCCTATCGATACATCAACGGTTACAGTCCCGCAGTGGACTGATCTTTAAGACACGGTTCCCAGCAGATCACCGAAGTCAAGCATCACTGACTACGGTCAATGTGCGGGTGGGTGACCACTTGGATCAGTCTGCGCAGGGACTGAGAGTGTGCGGCATCGGTCCTCGTTGAACTGGTCTACAGTAAAGTGCTCGACTTCGCGTGCAGGTCGTCGGGCTACCGGAGCGGGGTTGCGTTCGCCTCTGCAAAGGAGCAAAATTGCGATGTCATGTCTTCGAATTATCCTCATAGATGTTTCCCAGGCCGTCTCCATAACCCATTGTGCAGCTCTAGTGCGACATAAATGAACTTCAACTACAACTATCAATGGTTAGAGCTTTATTCGAAAACGCTACGTCCATGCTACAGAGCGTCTGACGAAATGGTGGGATCGCTCGCAAAGGGAGGTAGATTTCTTCACTAGTTCTTAGCGCCTCCTGGAACAACTAGAATCGAGATGTTTCGTCAGATTTAATTTGAGTAATGGGCAAATACACAATCAAGTTCAGTTTTGCCCAAAACATCACTCTCATCAGTTCTTTAATCTCTTCTTGTTGACATTTGTTGCTAATTACACACCGAATTTTTTTTTGTCCTGAAATACTAAATTATTATTTAGTCTATTGTTTTAACTAGCTAATGTATTCTTTTTCTTCATACAGCTGAAAACTCTCCTCCAAATAACAGTGAGTTTACTAAATCTTTATATTCTCTCACTATAAAAAAAAACCTATTGAGTTATTTTTAACGCATACAGTTAACCCATTAACTTTAGTTCCATAAATCACTTTGCGTTGTACTCAGAATGTCCCGAATTAGACGGTTAGTTTTTCTAAAATTTATAGAAATCAAAACAGTTAAGATTAAAATGAAGTACTTTGAAGTAAAGTAGTTCTCTGGTACCTGGTAATATAATTCGTGGTCCACTTTGAATGTTATGATTCAGTATTAAAATGAGATACAGTTGGCCAATTTTTATATTGGACTTCGAGAAAAAAAAGTTTCTTTCCTAAACCCCTGTCTTTTTTTAGTTTCTTTTTTTCTTTTCAAAAATTTTTCTACGGCTGACGCTATAAATTCTTTCAATCATTTTTTTATACATTATGTTTTTATGTATAAAAATTTCATTAAGACTGATTAACAACGCTATCATTCATTGATTTAAAGATTTTGAAAAAAATGTGATTTGCGTTGAATTTTCTTTGATTTAACGGTTTGCTAATCGCAAACCCATCTAATGAAAAAATTACGGTCTAAAAAAATTCTAAGACAAAAATTTAAACACTGTCTTTTTTTCTATCAAATTTGTTTTCTTGTTGTGGTGACATGGGTGCGAACAGGTTTAAAGATGTTTCATTATCAAAATTTCATGTATACGTTCTTTTTTACATATGTTTTTCAAAATATCACCAATTTAAAAATTTTGTACCAGGTTTTAAGTTCTCTTATTTACAACGCCATCTACAGAACAAAACGCAAAAAACAAAAACTCAGAGTTAAATTGCTATCTTTGGGTTATTTGTTTTAATATTTATTGGGTTATATTCTTGGTTATTATATTATTCTCGGGTTATTTGTTATTAATTGCCTACAATTCACTAAAATATCCCTCTAATACTTTTCCTTTTTATCTTTTAGATGAATTTAATGCTAACGTAAATTACTACAATAACTATCAGGGATATTACAATAATTATCCGCCAAATAATATGCAATACAGATACTATACAGGTAAGAGAGTATCTTCTACAATTTTTATAATTACTGGTTAATCTCCTTTTGTAGGTATTTGAGACATATTTTTCAATATATATACATATACAGAGAGAGAGATTTTTTTCTATTTTCAAATAATAATCAGTTTATTAATTTATATTAAGTTTGTTTAACAGTTTGCGTTGGATTTTTCCATGCATGACAATGATGGGTCCCCATTACAGGAATGTTGAGAATTGGTACAGGTTTATCTAGCCATGAAAATATAAGACAGGCACGAATTTTCGATATCTCCTGCTACTTTAACAAGGATCCTGAAAGGGAATTGGTTGGAAGAATATCCTTAACTTAATCAAACGTCGTTCAATTTTTCATGCTTTGTCAAGTCTGCAATCGATATTTTTTCCTTAAACATTTTAAAATTAAAATTAACTTTCCTTTCATTCCGTTGTTAATTCTTGTTTTTTTAACCGAACCAAAAATAAAGGTGGAGACCAGTTTCATCTAGAAGTGGATAAAGGAGGGCTGACGAAAGTTGACAAAACAATTAATCTTCCTGACTATAAAGGAAACGGAGCTATGGCCAATTTCAACATTGATGTTAATGGTAATATTTAATGATTATCTTTCAAAATTATCTTTTAAAACATATAAACTTTAATTGTATCTCAGCTGAATGTACAGCACAACTGCATTTAAATATTTTATTTCCTCAACTCCTCCACCGATCCTCATACTTTTTTAGTTTTAAACAATTATACAGTCAAGCCCCGTTATAGTGAACATGGTTTATAGTGAAATCCCGGATATATCGAACAAAATGTTCGTTCCCGTGCGTTACTATTCATGTATAATGTTATTTAGTGTACATAGAGTGAACCAAAGGAAGAGAGGATAGTATGAACTTTTTTCTGTCTTAGACTGATTTTTTTCCTTTAATTTTAAAGTTTATACATAAAATACATACACCGATTCTTAAAACCAATTATTGACTGGAATGTAGGCATAAGCATTTTTTTCTTGTTTGCCTCTTCTGTCTCAGTTTCCCATCTCTAAATTTTTTCTAAGCAGGACGAAGAGGCATAAAAATTAAAAGTTAACACATTTTGAGTTACTACATATTGTTTTTTTAATCATTTTTTGAAGTTATACTTCTTGTGCGACTTCCAACAAGGTTGCGTTAAACGTTTAACGCTACATTTTTATTGGCCGGGAAATCACGTGGTAGGATCCAGTTTTCCCTCATTCATTTCCACATTGTTTTGGTTCTCACTAGCATAAAAATAATAAGTCTTGTTTTTCTATAAATATTTTTTTAGTTTGCTTTGATACACATATAATTTAATAGGGTAGTATTTTTTATTTTCAAATTTAGTGGATAACAATTGTAAAAAATGAGTGAAAACAATCACACGGACAATGCGACGGATTTAAGGTTCTGTCAAGGTACGTCTCTTGTGAATATCAATTGATTGTTTCTCTTCTGAAATTACATTATGACGCATTCACATATTTTATTAATACAAATACATTTTCCATGGCGAGACGATGAGGCAACCACAAGCCCTCCCACTGGTTTAAGAGGTCCAGGAGGGAGAAATGCACAATATTATTGTTATTACAGAGCACGGAAGCGAGCGGAGCAGGAAAAAGAGTCGTTGAACAGAACTAGCGATCCTCCTACGACTGCTGATTCTTCTACAATTAACGTCGCAGGTTGCGAAGTTTAACTTCTTCCGCGCGGAGGGACTCCACGCACTATTATTTATTTTATTTCTTCTTATGGGTCATTTATCTAAATAATGTGTCATAAAGGAGAGTAATTCGGAAAAATGAGTTATAATTGTTTGCAGTACTGAGATAGTGAACTCCCGATTATGGTGAACTGAAATTTCGGTTCCTTGAAGGTTCAGTATAGCTGGGTTTGACTGTATTAATCATGTTTTTTCACCGTTTAGCAGTTGCCCGCGTATTCTGACTTCAATTTCAACTACACCGGTGTAAGAAGTTAACAAAATATGCATATTGGGTTGATTATTTCCAGAACTAATGGACTGATTTTAATGAAATTCGATATGTACGTACATTGATATAATACAAAGAAAATAACCATTCAACAATTGTAATACACACGCACGATCGTGCGCAACACTCGTTGGAGTCGGAAGGTATGAAACAGCGGTTGCAGAATAAACAACAAAGAAAATGGGTTTATCTTGGGTGTAGGGTCCCCTCTTGCAGATTATACAGGCCTTGCAGCTTGACTTCCTACCTGAAATAAGGCAGTTTACAGTTTCCCATGGAAATCGGCCTGAATTGTCCTGTGGCAATTTCATGCCTTCCGACTCCAACGAGTGTTGCGCACGATCATGCATGCGTATTACAATTGTTGAATGGTAAATTTATTTCGTAGTGTATCAATATATATGCACATACCAAATGTCACTAAAATCGATCGTGTAGTTCTGGAGATAATCCACCAAAGCTGCAAACTCTCTTAATTTCTCACACCGGTGAATTTTCAAGAAATTATGCGATTTAGTAATAATTTAAAATCTGTCCGGGCAGGCGTAAACATCACACAAGCCACTGTAAGTTAGAGTTCTGGATATTTCAGTTCAAAGTTGGCAGTAATAAAATTATGTCCATCCCTGTCGTCAGATAAGAACTCCATTAAATACTCACATTCACTTCTTAGAGTCTTTGTGAGGAAGACTATGCCAACCTTCATCTATCAAACGGTACTCCAAGATTGAGACGAGTTAGTATGTCTTATATACCAAGTTTAATAGTCGAAATGGTTGCAACGCCACAATACTGCCCCACCAGAAAATTTTTTGTCTCCTTATCCACTAATCGATCATGGTGGCTCATAGGCGCGACCTCAAACTAATTAGTGCTAAATTACAGAATCAACCACAACTTTCTCTGGAGAAACTTTTTTTCCTCATGATTTAGATGTTAAAATATAGGGAGAAACAGCAGCGATGGCTCAAGGGACAGAACGTTCACCTTGGAATGTGGTGAACTGGGTTCAAATCCCAACTATGGCTGCTCGATACGAATTCCGCATCCGGTTCGCACCGACCACACTGCTGACGTGAAATATCCTCAGTGGTAGACAGATCATGGGTTAGAGGAATGCGGGTTAGTTCCATCAAAAAGTCCTCCACGAAGGCAAATTACTCCTAATACTCGATCCAGGAGCTCCCTTGTCTTCTGAATTGGGTTCAAAATTACAAGGCAACTGTAATTGAGCATTAGTTGTCGCAAACCCGTAAGATTGTCTCTGCTGTTCAACGACGGTTATGAAATAAAAAAATAAAATATCACGAGTATTATCGCTAACAATAATCATCGAACACGATAGCGTCACGAGTATTATTTGACTGTTATTTGATATTATTTTATTACTTGATTTCAAGTATTATTGGACTATTTATGGAATGCAATAATATCGTAATCATTATCTACATATACAACGATGTATACTAAATACGATTATATCGTGGGTATTTTTCTGATGATAATAACCGATTACGATAATGATGTGTGTTCAGTTGATAATTTTCAAATCGATATAATACCATGATTATCACCAACAACGATGCTTATCGAGTATGATAATATCATGAGCATTATTTCTTACAACCATTATGAAATACGATAATGTGGCAAATATTATGGATACCGATAATTACTGAATATGATATCGTTATCATTACCAACAACGATAAATAATGGGGAGTATAATTATGGGGAGCATAATTTATTACAATTATTTTAAGTGGAGTATAATTTATAACAATAATTATTGAATATAATATTAGCATATACAGTCTCTGGCCAAATTATTAGACCGTAAAATTCTGTGTAAAATCTTAATTACTCAGGTGATACTATACAGCTTTATTGATTTTACGCGACTGAAACCTGTTTGCACTTGTTTACGTTCGGGAGTCAATTGATAAAATTAGGCGATATATCATATAAATGTGACGATTGTATAAATTAGACGATATATTATACAAATTTAGTATATTTATTATATCAGGTATTATATTAGTAAATTGTAATAATTAGATCAAATTCTTAGACGCACTACAGTTTTTTAATGACACGTTTTGCACGAGTTTTATATGCAATACTTTTATATTTAAACATACGTGTAATGGGTTTTTATTCAAGACATTTTTTATATACAGTGCACTCCCGATTATCCGGTTTAATCACCGAGACAGGTCGCACGGACAATCGAAAAACACGGATAATCCGAAAACTCCTTTTATTCAATATCAGTACAAAAAATATAAAAATTACTGACATTTTCATGCATAGCATCAAACTAGGAATTTTCCTTATTAAAAAATGTGTAATGCGTCTTCGCCATATATCGATACACAAATTTTACGAACCGCAGTAATGTCACTGTAATCAAATCCTCCCATATAATCTAATAAAGTTTCCACAGAGCAGCAGAATGTGAAATTGTATTTAATTCATTTACTACATCTTCTGCATCAGTTACTATCATCACTATTTGATTTAACAACATAACGATGTCTTCATCAGTCAAATACTGGAAGCCAGGCTCACATGCATCACTTTGAAACCAATTTTCTAAATTTTCTTCATAAAGAATTTCGAAACCTTAGATTTCTTTTGGCTTGTTCGAGAATACTGTTATATTTTTCTTGAACATCTGAAGAGGACTGTTCATCAAGCGGTATGATCTTTCTTCAAGATCGTGATAACGTAGACGATTTTACCTTTGACCATGCTGCTGATATTCCATATACTGCAATCCAATTACGAGTATTGCTTCCAAAAATTTTGTAGTGTTATAACTTCATGAATCAAATTTTTTTAATCTTGAAAATGTTTCTCTTTATATTTTTTGTGTGACTCCGCAAACCGGATAATTCGCAAAGCGGATAATCCGCGCACCGATAATCGATAGTGTACTGTACTTCCTATTTGTATTTATTTTTAACGTATTGCATTACAATGTTACCCAATCAATACACGAATGTAAACAAGTGCAACATGATATAATAAATATTTAATACTTTTATAACATATATCTAATTTTCCAATTTATGGAATTTACTTTATATTTCGTTTAATTAAACGAAATGAACGTAAAAAAGTACAAACCAGTTTCAGCAGTGTAAAAACAATACAGCTGTATAGTGCCACTTGATAATTAAGATTTTAATAGAATCTTATAGTGCGTCTGATAATTTGACGAGGGACTGTATATGGTTTATAAATACCATTTGGGTTACAAATATACTGACCAATGCAAAAATAATGTAAATTGGCTAATCGTGGAAATATCATGATATATCGAGAAATATCATTATTTCTCGACTATGTACCTAGACATGAAAATTTTAATATTTTTCTTTTAGGTAACGGAGACGGAGCAGCTTTTTATAACTTTCAACAACCGAGTAGCAATCAAAATGCAGGAGGAGAAACTTACAACTATTATTATTTACCACCACAGTTCCCAGGACCTCCTCCTGGACCTGAACCATATCCTGTGCCTGTACCATATCCTGTGCCAATGCCGTATCCTGGACCACCCGGAGCATATCCAGTGCCACTACCATATCCTGGACCGCCCGGAGCATATCCTATACCACCCGGAGCATATCCTGGACCATTTCCTTTCCCGCCATTTCCACCAGGTATTTATTTAACTGTAAATTTCAAAATATGCAGGTTTTGATAATAAAAAAAATTGTATGCAACATTAAGAAGAAAAAAAAAACATATAAAAACGTACCCTACACTGCTATAACCTAGAGTGCCTAGAGTAAAAGAGTGTGGACAAGGGAGAAACGATTCCTGATAGGTGGAAAGAAAAACTTTACCGCCGGAGGCGAGAGTGGAAAATTCGCCATTGGAATTACACGGAGTGAAAATTATCTGACTCAAAAAATTTATGTTCTGTATTAATAAATGCATGTAATAAGTTCATTACTTACTTTTTTTCAATAAGAAACTTCACAGTTACAGTAAATGTTAAAATTATGGCTGAAAATTTCCATAGTTGTTAGCTATTCGAATTTATCTTTATTATCACTTACTTGCGTGCATATAAAGTTATGTTTATCTCATTGTAAAGAGAACAAGGTGATGAATAAACTAATGGTTAGATAAGAATAAAAGTATTTACTTTTAATACACATAATTTCTATCTAAATTACTTATAAATTTTAAGATTTGAGCATCTTTTTATGCTCTTCTTCTTTATGTTCGCGTTACAATTTTACAATGCGCGTTACAAAGTAGCATTTGTTTACTTTTCGTTACCAACTGTATAAAATGCTAGTTTGTTTTAAATTTCAACTAATTATGGAAATTTTTGTTTACAATTTGTTGAAATAAACAATACCTTTTCAGGTGAATATGCGATAATTTCTTTCCTGAAAAAGTAATAAATAATAACAAATTATATAATTTGTTTTATTAATTATTATTTCTGAAATAAATGGCATAATCATTATTAATTTTTATATTTTATTTAAGGCATTTATTAAAAGCTGAAGTCTTTTCAAAAGTCTTTTTTTTTTCATTGACGTTAATTTTTAAAAATTTCAGATGCTAGACAATGTTTCTTAAAAAATCTGTAATATCATGTGCTTTCCAATCTTAAAGTTTATATTATTGATACTTTAGTATATACTCTTAGAATAACAGAACCTTCAGAATAACACCAAATGAGCGAGTGCCGCCAATTTTGGTGTATCATCTGGCAACCCCCTTTCACAAAAATATGACGGCAGCGCACGCGCTCTTGGATATTGTCATCACTCTTTTCAATGCAGGCACTCTACTATAACCATATAAATACACTGCTAATAACCCACCCATAGGATGGAAAGCTGGCAGGCAGCAAGTAATGGAGGGGCTATTTTCAACAGTGAAAGTAAACGGCGAAATTGGATAGCGTATATCTCTTGTCTGACACGTTGCGACAGCTAATTGACGTGACTGTTTCCGCCTTCAATACGGTTGTTTATCTTACCACATAATCGCTGGTTTTGTATTCGATTTTATTTTATATTTTTTGGAACGCAAGGAGTATTAAAAACTGAAACGCAAGCTAAGAGTGATAATAGAATATTCGAATTGCCAATATGATAAAATGGATAAACGTGACAAAAGAAATAAAATAAATAATAATGAAAAAATACAAGACAATACAACAACAAAAATTTTTGCATTTTATTAAACAACTTCAAATGCACAATAACGTTCTTTACAAGATCAAATTGTAATTTCAACCACGCATTGGATGCTTCATGTTTGATTCTAATGTGATTTAGCACATTGAATGTGCAAAACAAATGACAAATATTTTTCCCTCATAAATCCCAAATATACTATAAAAACAAAGCTTTCCACAACATGCAGTTGAGTTGAATTCCTAATTATGATTTCTCTTACTCTTTTGTTACACTCGAATTGAAATGTTTCAAGTTAAATGTAGGTAATGAGCAGAGCCTTTATATAAATTGTTGCATTCATGTTCAGCCTTAACGTGACATAACGAATAAAATTAATTAGTTATTAAACAAGTAATATAAAAAAAAGGTCAGAAATTTTTTATTTTAGTTACTTTTTATTAAATAACTAGGAGGCTTCGCCCCCTGCTCGCTGGCGCTCGCCACCCCCGGAACTGCTTTCGCAGTTCATTTCGGCTCGCTCATTAGATACGTTCTTAACGTCTAGCTTTTGTATATTTTCTTGAACTCTGAAATTCCGAAAACTTTTCACTGTCGAAAATTCTAAACCTGTACATTTCAATATTAATTTGAAATTGCGAACAGCTCACATATTTTTCTTAATCACACTATTCTTAATTTCAGTTGTCGAGAAAAGTAACTGTTGTAAGTTTTGTTTTAAAGTCTTTCCCACCAGAGTGTTAAAGCCATGCGTTGTAAAACAATATGAAATAGTAGTCTGAATAGTTGAGAGAGAATTTCTTTAAAAACACAATTGTTAATTTGGGCATTTGGCGATACAACATTTATAGAATTGAAGGATTTGCTACGTCAAGCGCTCAGGTACCTTAATTTTGATCTAGTTGCGCTTCTATGTCATTTTGATTTGTGTTGCTAAGTTAACTTTCAAAAATTTCTGTGGCTGGCACCAGCATTTATATTTTTTAAGTTGTTTATTTTTATTTCTTTTAGAATTCGTTCTCTTTTTAGCGAAATGTTTTTTAACCTAACAGAATTCTTTGCCGACTGTTTTCTCTATAAGTGAAGAAAATAAAGTAAACATTTAAGTGTTGTGAAAAGAATCTTATTTAGTTGTACAAAGTACTTCAGCCAAAATTTGGGAGCCACGTAAGAGAATTATATATATTAGATCAGAAACACATCATTAAAAGGCAGAATGCTTTGGTGTTTTCAAAACGTAAACAAAACAAAGCAAACGTTGCCACTGGCGGAAAAGAAATACAGCCAAAATTTGGGAGCCACGTAAGAGAATTATATATATTAGATTATAATTTTTTCTCCCATATTAAACTAAAATTAATTACTTAAATCTGATTAATGTATTAATATTTGAAAATACTGTATTAAGATCAAGTGTCATCCTCTACAAGTTTAAAAAAATGCATTTGAACTTGAGTGAATAGAAAGTATTTTCTGAACGATTGAAATTTTGAACAAGATAAACGGAGAGTGTAAACTAATAGTAGGAATTGAAAATTAGAATCGTTTGTGCAATTATGACAACGAGAGAAGAATTAATTTTTTGAATATCTCTTCCATACGGGCTCGTTAGAAATTTTGAACAATTTTTAGGATTGGAGGCTAAATTTATCCCTCACACAGCAATCCAAATTTTAAGACCGTTTAAGACGTACTGGTTTATAATCATACCTATATAAACTTGTCTGATCTTCAAAAATAACACTTAAGACAAAAAACCCTGGTTAGAACTACGTTATTAAATTGCATAAAAGCTGTAGCTTGTTGAGAGAAACTGATTGCAGTTTGAAATCAGATCTAAAATCTAATAAAGAATCGCATGCAACAGAAAAAATAATAATTGTTCTCAGGTGTTATTATGTATAGAACTTTGGAAGCGGCTTGATCTTTTGCAAATGTCAACAGATTTCACCCCGATTCCCATGACAACTGGCCCAGAAGAAACAACTGGTAGTGGAGTTACGGCCACCACAGCCTCACAAGTTGATACAACAGGGACAGGAACTGCTACAACAGGCACTGGCACTACTGGAACTGCTACAGCAAGCACTGGCACTACTGGAACGGCTACAACCGGTACTGATACGACTGGAACTACTGAAACTGGAACAACTGGTACTGGTACTACTGGAACTGCTACAACAGGCACTGGTACTACTGGAACAGGAACTGCTACTACTGGAACAGGAACTCCTGGAACAGGTAAAACACCGACAGGCGCCACCACAACCAGTAGGTTAATAACCGAAAGCGATTAAGCCAGCTTTAAATTTTTGACAGTTTTTTTTGTACTTTAGCTCTTGAACAGCAATTTTAAAAAGATAATAAAGCTTTTACAGTTTAGAATTTAATCGCTTTATTTTTTACCAGATTGTATGCTTTTTCAACTTTTTTACGAATGTCTACTGATTTTACATTTACGGAGCGAACCACTCACACTGTATGCTTTAAAGTAATATAAGAAACGCAACAATAAACTGATATCTAAACAATTTAGGATTTAAACTGAAGACCGAAATCCTACATCCAGTCTAATAAAGATAGAGTTTAAACATATTATCTAAAAATAGCAATGCCTTTCTCACAACAGATTATAATTATTAATTTTAATGTAAGTACGAGAATTATTTTCATTAATATTATCACTATGTCATCTACGCAATTAGCAGAATGAATTTCATCACAAAAAAAACAGGCATAAGTTCACTCTATCAACAGCAAAAAAGTATAGAGCTTCGGTGATTTGTGTTGGCACGTCCTCTATAATCACCTCATCTCGGGGATCACATTTTACCTTTGATTTGTTCCATTCAAAATATTTCGCATTTTATGACGCTTCATTCAGATAAGTCTATGAATCAGTATACATTGATCGTCTATAAGCACAGCTTTTTTTATGAACGAGTGTTCAAGCAGTCCTTGGTCCCGCAGTGGACTGATAGTAAAGAAACGGTTCCCAGTAGAATACCGAAGTTAAACATCACTGGCTGCGGTCAGTAAGAGGGTGGTGACCACTTTGATCAGTCTGCGTAGGGACCAAGGGTACGCAGTATCGGTCCTCGCTAAACTGTCCTACCGTAAACTACTCGACTTCGTAAGTAGGTAGTTGAGCTCCGTCCCTTAGGAAAATTTCTCAAGGGTTTGCCATACAACAAAATGTCATAGGATATTCCTATGGAGTTTTGCCTACGGTAAAATTTTGCCATACGTATATGGCAAAATTTTACCATAGGCAGACACTCATAGGAATATTCTATGGCATTTTGTTGTATGGCAAATTTTGGCCAAAAAACTAAGGTGTGCTACAGCTTATGAAGAAAACTTTCCATATGCTATGGTACACTTTTACCATACAGCTATGGCAACATTTCTCCATTGGTATTTTACTATGGAGTTATACATCGAAAAGTAATTACTAAGGCCCGGATTTTGATGACATTTGCATTTTTTTGCATTTTTTGCATTTTTGGGCATTTTTTGTCTTTTAGTACATTTTATTAGGCTTATAGGGCATTTTTCTTTAAATTTAGGGGCGTATTTTGCATTTTAATACTTTTTTTAAAGTTTTCTGTTAATTTTTTCCAATTTTTATTATTTTTTATCAATTTTCATTATTACACTGGCTTCCAAACAGTGAAGAAAATCTATAGGATATTAACAGGTGAAGCAAAATCTTTTCAAATTGAAGAAGAATTGTCAGTAAGTGAGACCGTCTTTTTCAAGTACACACCTATAACATCAGTAGACGTTGAAAGAAGCTTCTGCAGGAATGAAAATTTACTTTCAGACAAGAGACGCTCGTTTACATTTCAAATTATCAAAAAACATTTAATAATCCAATGTAATTCTGATATTTAGTAATATTATGAGATGGAAGTTGTTATATCCATTAAAGTTTCTATACAAAATAAAAATATTTTGGTGTCAATATATTTTCCTTTTTTTGTTATTTTAGGATATAAAACATATTTTTCAAACTTTAATGAACGTAGAACAAGTATTGCATTGCTTTATATTTTTTAAATGACTCATAATAATTTTAAAGAGCAAAACATTTTTTTAATTCAATATTTTTACTTTATTTAAGGCATTTTTTGCGCAATTTTTGCATTTTTAAGGGCATTTTTTGCCCTTTTTAAGGGCATTTTTTGCACTTTTTAAGGGCATTAGTTGAGATTTTTTAGGTCATCAAAATCCGGGCTCTAGTAATTACCATTTAATTACACGAATCTTTTGCAGCTCTAGGGTTATTAAAAATAAAAACTTATGATGATTGTAGAATATCCCAGCTTGGCTTGAAAACTTCAGCCAATCAAAGCTTTATATGTTTTTTTTTTTTTTTTTTTTTTTTTTTTTTTTTTTTTTTTTTTTTTTTTTTTTTTNTTTTTTTTTTTTTTTTTTTTTTTTTTTTTTTTGTTATTGCTAAACCTCCCCTATTTTCATAGGAGTAAATACTCGCAGAATTCCTTTTGAATACCGTTCTTCAGATAAATTTTTTGTTAGTAGTTTAGGCCTTAGACAGATCCATCTCACCAAGCATACATTATACAAAATTTATTTGCTGATTATCTGGTGAAGAAATTTCCAGGCATAAAATTCAAAATATTTCCTTTTACTAAATACTAGTTATCAATCCAGAAAAAAAAATTGTAAAATGCTAAAATGCATTGTTTAATTGTCTAGAGAATAAAAATAGCCTAAAAAAATACAATAATTTAGGCTAAAATAAAAACATTATAAAACTTTTATTCAACAATATCTAAAGATTTTGTTTTCGTGAAAAAAAGCGCTTTCGACAAAATACTAAAATAGAGATCTATCGACAAAGACTACTCACTTCTGCCTAGCATAATAGTATGAGATTGCCGCAGTTGATGCTCTCCGGTTATTTCAGTTTCCGTTTTTAAAAGAGCTATATGTTGGGCCACCTCAGCTAGATTTGGCATGTGAAATTTTTAGTGGCAATCATTGGTCGATTCACCGTGTAAGAGTATTGAATATAGTAAAGTGTGGCGTGCTCTCTGCGTTTCAATTGGTAAAGCTTAATTTAGCCTAATAAGATTTGTTTGAGCTCCGAGGCTCTTCTTCAAATTCAACATGCTTCCACCATAAACCACGGACTCGCCGTGTAAGAGAAATTGTAACGTAAACAAAACAAAGCTAACGTTGCCACCGGCGGAAAAGAAATACAGCCAAAACTTGGGAGCCACGTAAGAGAATTATATATATTAGATTTACTTTCCATGACAACATGGTATGATACAGAGTTTAAAATTACGTATTTTACCCCAAGTGATATAAGTTACTTTAATTGGGGCTATTTTATTTTCATTAGCGAAAATGCTTTCAAAAACATTTTTAAATGGTCTTCGGGGGGGGGGGCAATATTCATAGGATAAAAGAATTACATGAGGCAGATTTTTCAATCTTAGAAATTCCAAATTCCTGAGATAAATGGGTTATGAGCCAAATAGTAATAAACATTAAAAAAATACACTATCTGGCCATTAATGACCGGACACCCCTCATTTCGGATACATGAGGTGCTAGCATCAAGTCAGTGTGGCGTAGGGCCGCCACGCGCCCGAATCACAGCTTTAACCCTTTTAGGAAGGATATCCACTAGGTGTTGGTACACAGCGGCAGGTATTGCCCGCCATTCCTCCTGTAACATGGCGAAGAGTTGAGTGGTGGCTTTGGGGCGTTGTGGTCTGGCCCTCAACCGGCGCTCCAACTCATCCCAGAGATGCTCAATTGGATTGATGTCGGGACTTTGGGATGGCCTGTCAAGCTCTTGCACTCCCATTTCATCAAACCAGTCCGTGATGGCATGTGCTTTATGAATGGCAGCGTTATCGTGTTGAAACACAAACGGGCCATTACCGAACTATTGCCACAGGGTGGGAGGCGCCGAATTGTCCAGGATGTCTCTATACCCTTCTGCGTTCAGGGTTCCACGCACTAACACCAAGGGTCCAAGGCCAAACCATGAGAAACAGGACCTCACCATAATTCCCCCACATCCGAACTTCACAGTGTCCGGTCATTAATGGCTAGATAGTGTAATAATAATTCTCACATTTTTTAACGAAAATCGAAATAATTAGCTTTGTCAAACCTAAAAATTGCATTCTATTTAAAAAAAAAAATTTACAAAAATAAAAACAGGTTGATATTTCTTTTATAAATATATAATTTTATATAAAAATGTCACTGAAACTCTCTCTGGTTTATTGCCTTCCCAGTAGAAAATTTTTTGCTTTAGATCTAAGTTAGTTCAAAATCTATTTGGCACCTTGGCGATTGTAGTTGGCGTGACAGGTCACAATGCGTAAATATCCCCGAAGACAATAACTAATAAACATAATAAAAGCAAAGGGAAAAACTAATATTTTCATTAATTGTATGACAATAAAGCAATTGTTTTCTGCAAATTTTAAAATATTTCAATATTGAGATACTAACAAATACCTCAATATTATGATATTGATAATTGTTTTTTAAAAAGAGAATATTGCTCTTTTACTTACTTCTTCAATTTGTTGGTTCGCTTTCCAAGCTCGACCCTATTTAGTTTACAAATATATCGACGATCATCTTTGAAAGGGTGTGTCGAGCCATATTTCAAAAGGTTAAAAAATACTATGGAATTTTATAAAAGGAAAACGCTTTAATTACGTTATTTACAATAATTTTGGAAGCCTAATGAGAATTCGAATTACAACATATCTAAATCAAAGTATGCAACTACTACAGAGTTCAGTTGTAGGCTGCTGATACTTCAACACATTTTCTGTCTGTCGCACATGTCTACAAAACCTATAAATACTTTTTTTTTTTTAAATTTATTTCTAATGGCAAGGCAAAAGGTACAAGTAGAAAGATGAAATAAATAACGAATACAAATGTACGTAGGATAACAAAGAAAGAAGACCGAAGTCGCTGCCTTAAAAGTTCTCTTGCTTCCCAATATCTTGAGGACTCAGTGTGTCCAAAACCTATAAATACAAAAATATATAAACATTAGTAGGCTTATGTAATTCTATGTATTTTTAGCTAAGCCTTATTTTAAAGTAAATAACTTACTTCCTCATATTTTCCTTCTTCGAAAAAATAAAAAAGACCAGCCTTAACACTCATAGACATTTTTTAAAATATGTATCACATACGTGAAATGCTACAGAACAAGACCAAAACATAAC